CCAGTACGACTTCGAACAGTATAGCCGGTACTCTGCAGAAGGACAACTGGTGTCAGACCATGCACTAGCGATGATGGATGCATTCCGACGCACAAACTGGAGCTGATCCGAAGATTGCAGAGAGTAACGTCGCCGATGATGACAGCAGGCGCTTTGGGAGCGCGGATGCTCAAGACATACACTGTGCCCATCTCCACAACGAAGAGCGCTGTCAAGAGGAGGACATATGATCTCTCTGCCCATGGACGATGCATTAGAATCTCGTACATAGGGAATCGCCAGTCTTACTGTTCCCTAAGATTGCATGTGTCCGGATCTGCAGAATCACTGCAGAATCCGTCAGGACGGCAGATGCGGGTTAGTTATAGGACATACTTGCCTTGTACGACTGCCATCAATGCCGGCACTGGTGCGCAAGTATTTCAATCAAGTACACCGGGTAAAGCTAGTAACTGACCAGCATACGCTATATATTCGTCCCATTCATGGCCTGTTCCTCGCAGATAGGTAAGAAGGACGTGAAGTTTTGGCGAGGGCTCTTTACATGATCTTCGAGAGCGAAATCAGCGTCGCTTCTCGCACAATATGGCCAGTGTGGACTTACATATAGCCATAATGGCGAAGAGACGAAACTGTGCATTGGGCTTGTCATGCAGGGCGCATATACGCGTAAGACTTGCATTACTTACGAGTGCTAGTAGCTACCACGACCAGCAGCCCAAAATACCGGTTCTGCTTCTCGGGCGTATACGTATATTGACCAAACATCGTGTCACTGATCGCTCACGTACAATAAGGTAGAAAACTTTGATTGAGGACCACGGCAAGCGCTGGGGAAAATACATCAGTGCGAGTTCTGCGGATCAGGGCTTCTAGCATCTAGCCCAGATAACCTGCACCTGATCATTGAGCGCTATGAGTAATCCCACGAACCTGAAACAACTTATCACTCACTTCTGCAGGAAAGGTCGACACTAGACTGGGTGATTCTTTATTCAAACAATATTGCTGTCACTTTGACACCCACGGAAATGGTATGCATATAGGCTAATCGACGCATCTAAGGCTCTGTCCATCAGCATTTTATGAATTATGGTGAGTCGGGACGGAGACTCACACAGAGAATATTTACCCAGCCCCTCGCTCCGGAGAGCACTCGCAAGATCGGGTTGGGCCACTGGTTCCATTGTCGAGCGGATTTAAAGCTATACCGTAGCCTCAAGTCATGATTTATACAGAGGACTGGATCTCTCAGAGACGGCGCTATCACTGCGCCTTCACCAGGAGCACCGGGCGCTGCAGTGCCCACAGCATACGAGGGTAAGTAGAACCAGTTAATCCTGTTGAGACATCTTCAAGTGGGGAATTGTAAGATTAGTGGGGATAGGCGCAATGGGGTCCTGCGGTTTCTTCAATTCTGTGTGCCATTAAGCGTACAAGAGGGTTAGAGCGCTACAGAAGGGATCGAAGCAGAACGCAGAGCATGCACAAGCAACGACTCTATGAAATGCCACTGAGGAAGGCAGTCCGCGACCAAAGAGCGTCTTGATGGTGGCTGCAGATGGTTGCTTAAGCGCTTGGAACCCGAGACGCGTCTCGCACGCGCGTTATAGATCACATCACGCAGGATTACTACGACCTCGGTGCACAGGTGCAACACATAGACTATGACTTATGTGGATGTCATGATTCAAGAAGATAGGATAACATTACTATACATATCATTGCCTAACTGTCCGCTGGCGGTTCCTCCATCCCCACGAATCCCTCCAGTGCTCCAGTGACGCCGCCTGCCGCCTTCACAGCTGGATGGCTTTCCGGCTCGTGATGCTCGCCAAGCAGCTCGTCCACCACCTCTGATCCACCACCGGGAGTCTGCTTCGCCTGTGCGCTCACGGACGACAAGGTCGCTGGAGGCACATAGTCCTTCACCGCACCCGCAATCGCGCTGGCAAGGTCCTTTGACGGCATACCCAGGGCACTCGCGAGCTCCTCAATCCTGCTCTCTACTTCCACTACGCCCTGTCCACTTCCACCAGATGCCCAATTGCGTGCATCGTGTATGCCCGTGCTCGGGCGCGCCGGCGTGTTCACACCTGGTACAGCTGCTTTTTTGCCAGTGGCCAGGTTCCACCAGCTGCCTGCCTCGAGTTTCCAGTTCCATAGTCGGTATCCGTAGAATGCGAAGACGAGGAGGCCGACCGCGGCCATGCGGTAAATAAAGGTGTTGAAGTCGACGTTCGACCCCGGGGGGCTGACAGGCTTCAGTCCTTTGCGCTCGCGAGGAGGGGGAAGGTCTTCTGCCGACTTGACGTTCCCCGTCGATGTTGCAGGCGCATTTCCGTTCTGTTTCGAGCGTTTACGAGTAGACATGGTCCGACTAGGAACATAGTTTAGAGAATTTGACGGAACGCAATGGACAAGAACATACAATAATGTGGAAATGCGTCTGCCAGGTAAAAGAGAGAGGATAACTTGCGGTCCTGCGTTGCTGCGCGGTTATAAGGGCTGAGAAACGTATGCGACCCCGCACTCGACAGCTACTGATGTCATTGACAGTCGTCACTGTTGATGTCCAAGAACGGCAATACCCGCTTCTTTCGGGGGCAGTGATCGGACACGTGGATCTGAAGTCTTCTTCTCATGTTTGGACTTCTTCTACACGCTGCTTCCGCGAGCTTGGTGGACCTTTTCCATATTTATTGCTCTGAATATCTGTTTTATGAGCTTCTGGACATGCTGCCGTGCGTCTCGCTTTGTGATTTTCTGCTATTTACAGGCTGTAGCGAGCGCTGCCCAAGATACCTCGCTACTCTACAGACGTCCTCTTCTGCGACGGCGTGGTCCACTGGCTACCAGTAGTAGATCGTACGCGCGGTGAAGATTTTCTAATGTGACTTAGATCGTATGAGTTATCACACAGAACAGCGGCCGGAGAAAATAAATCAATAACTCATATTTCTTCTCGATCAACAGCAGTCCTTCGTCAAAAAGTGATACACAAGACACTTGGGCCTCAGAACTTGGAAAGGTTGGTATAGAAGTAGGGTAAGGAGGCGGATAGCTAGGCTAAGTTATTATAGGTTCAGTAAGGATGCGACACGAAACCGATACGGCGCTAGATTGAGAAGAACGGCTGGTCACTCTGTTGCTGCTGTTGCTGCTGCTGCTGCAAAGCGAAGGGGTTATGACTCGGCGCACCCGTCTTCTGCGCAACGACCCGACCAGCGCTCGTAGGACCATACCTGGCCAAAGCGTCAGCAAAAAGACCACTACGACAAGGCATTGGGCCTCGCACCTAAGCAAACCAGTGTTACCGAACGTATCGAGGCCATCGTCCGTGCGGTTTGCAAAGAGGTTCGCAAGGTGCGAGTGCTCCTCATCTGCTTTGGTCTGACTACGCTGCGATCCTTGCTGCTGGAATGATGATGGCGGCGCGGACTGAGACGGACCAGGCGGTGCGCTCGTGGCACCCTGGCGGCTGCCACTGTCGTACGTGCCCCCCAGGTTGAATGACACAGGCGTCTGCGTCTGCGGACCTGGCGTCGACATCTGCGACGTGTTGAGGAAAGATGGCTGGGGCTGCGCAGGCTGAGCGGGTGCAAAGGGGTTGTTCGAACTACAATTCCCCTATCAGAAGTTTGATCAGAGATGGAACTCTCTCATTACTCACCCAAACCCAGTCGGCTGCGCCATAAGAGTTTGCTGAGCTTGGAGCTGTTGCTGCTGCTGCATTTGCATCATCTGCTGTTGCTGCTGCTGGCGCATCCACTCTTCCTGCTGGGCCTGCAACTGAGCCGCCTCCTGCTGCTGACGCATCCACTCGGCCTGCTGGCGCATGTATTCGGCCTGCATGGCCTCCTGTTGAGCCTGCTGCTGCCATGGGTTAAACGACGTAAACTGGGGCTGCACTTGGGTGAACTGCGGCTGAAGACCAGTCATAAATTGAGACTGCTGTTGCGCGTTTGGGTCGATCGTCGGAATCCTTAGGAACAGTATCAGCTAGGAAAACGAAAGATCGTACGTAAATATCACGCACAATTGATTCTGATCATCAAACAAGGCTGCTTGATTCGCATCTTGCAGAGCCTTGGCCCGCTTCGCCTCCTCCTCCTCGCTGAGCTTGATCGCCCGCTCAAGGTCGCGATCTTCCGCAGCCTTGTTCGCCTGCTCCTGAGCCAGCCGCTTGCTTTCCTCGATCGCCCGTTGCAGATCATCGTCCTCCTTATTCCTACCGCGGCCAGGGGGCACGCTCCTACTCCTCCTCCTAGTGTTCTCGTCCTCCTCGCCAGGGGACTGCCCCACCATCCGATCCCGCATATGTGCTCGCGAGCGCCGCTCCTCACGCAACCGCCCCTCATCCTGCAAAAGGTTGGTGATATCCTTCGCCTTCTGACGCACATTCGCACCCAGGTCCTTCCCGTACTCGTCGACATATTGGAACTCCTTCAGCGTCTTGATGATATAGAGATTGTCTCTGAAGTAGATCACAACGTTCTCCGAGCCCGCGTGTAGTAGATAGTCGAGTAACGTTAGCGACTGTAAAGCAGCTACGTTCGTCAATGCGAGCCAGCAGGCAGACGGATACGATGCGCACCTTAAAGACGTGTCTCCAGTTCTTGCCCTTATCGTTCAGCCGCTTGTCCAGCATCTCCATGATTTCAACGAAGTCATTCCTAACGCACAGTATGCATAGCTGACCATGATACTTGGACAGATGCTGCGTACTGATTATAGGTCATCTGTGCGATCTCGTTCATCTGCGTGCCCGAGGGGCCCCAGGGGTCGTTCGACGTTGCATCCCGGACCTTCGACTGAGTATCCGAGTACCCCTTGGTATAGTTTTTGGCGACACGGAGGGCACCCTTTCCAAAGTGCTGTAGAGTGGACATCTCACGAGAGCAAGGAGTTGACTGCGTCAGGCTAGGGTCGCCTGTGGCGTGAAGTGTTACGGAGTCAAATTTTGATATATATTCATAGTGACCTTGTGCACTACGTTAACACCGATGGTGAAGTGGTTATCATGCTTGCCTTCCATACTGGTGCCAGCAAGCGGCACGGGTTCGATTCCCGTTCGGTGTATAGGTGTCATTGTCCACGAGTTTTTCTGGGTCCAAACAGACATCTCCTTGTGACCATCCTTATAAATAGTGTTGCCTTTTACTTCTCGTACTTACAGGTGGTCGGTTACGAGCCTAAAATCGCCCACCACTCTTGTGATATCCTCGAGCAGCATCATTACTCAGGTCTCTCATAAGATTTCGGGTTTTGACCAAGCGGTTTTCAAGCCACTTGCTTTAGTGGGGCTGTACCGATTGTCCGCTGCCACAGTCACAAAAGATTACTCGTCCAACACAGAAGAAGATATCAGGTTTTGAGAAACGTTGTCGCGGATGGCTCACGGGCCGGGCCGATGGCCGCGAGTCACCCAGATCATGAGGCATCTACAGCAGGTGGGAAGGCCCTGTTCTCATCGAGAGTTATATAATTCGCTTGTCATCTCGCAGTCGATGCACTTACCGTTGCCTGCCAGCATCAAGCATCATATCAGCTCACGACTCTTCAGTGCGACTTACTGCTCCCGATTACCACTAAGGGTCATGGCCGAGGAGAGATGGCCTAATTCAGCTCGAGCTGCTGTAGCCCTTACCATGGACAACATGGGCGAAGCCGCAGACCTGAACCGTGGTCTCTGGCCTGTTGACGTCCCTATCGGATCGCACCCATCTGTCACCAAATCAATCCCCCGGATGCTCGCACTCTTGGCCAAATACACCATTCCGGCGACGTACTTCATCGAGTCCTGGAACCTCTCTGTCTACCCGGACGTGATAGCGGATCAGATTGCCGCAGCGGGCGTCGAGATTGCATGGCACGCCTGGCAGCACGAGCCATGGGGAAAGCTGAGCGCGGATGAGGAGAGAGAGAACTTTGAGAAGAGCTTCGGAGAGAGCGGGATCGCTGGTTTCATTGGCAAGGGTGGGAAGGGCGAGGGAAAGGTGGTACAGTATCGCGGGTTCAGGCCACCTGGGGGAATAGTGCATGGCGAGCGCACCTTGAAGTTGTGTAAGGAGTTTGGCCTCGGATATATCAGTCCTGCTGCGCAGGAGGCAGCGCTGGTGCAAGAGGGCATTGTGGTGTTGCCGTTTCGATGGCAGACGGTTGATGCATTTTTCTACATGAAGGAGTTCGCTGGCCTGAGGAAGATGAAGCAGGAGTACGGGGAAGACGCACAGGGCCCAGAGGTTCTGGTGGAGAGGTTCTGCCGCGAGGTCGACGATGCGATTGAGAGAGGCGGGTATGTTTCGCTATTGTTTCATCCATTCTTGACGGACAGGGAGGAGAGGTTTGAGGCTATGGAGAAGGTCCTCAAGTACCTGGAAAAGAAGCGTGAAGAGGGTTCAATTTGGCTGGCGAGAGACAAGGAGATTGAGGAGTGGATACAGGCACATCCCCAGGCTGTCGGAAACGATCCCGGATGGGACAACAGCTCCTGGAGATGATGCCCTTGATGTTGAATAATGAACTCGTGAATCACGCGAAGTGGCTCCTGCAAGAGAGGCTCGTCTAACATATATCGTCGGATGCTCCGGTACCCACGTACCCACTTGCGACACATGAGACCCGTTTCTCGCCTACTTGGTTTCATTGCGGAGACGTCGCTAGCAAGTCGCGTCGTCCGGACAGATCACGACTCGTCACAGTACTTGAAGGTCGTCACTGTCACGGCTGCCTTCGGCCATCACCGGTCCCGCTAATACGGCAGGACGAAATACGGTCGTCCTCGCGGTGCATTTACTTTCTTTCTTCGGAATCGTTCAGATATCCTGCTATCAACCGTCTTCGCCTTACTCAACGCTCTCAAATCCTGCCATGACTTGGTAGGGATTCCAGCACGTCGGAAGACCGGGCGGCATGTGCTTCAGAAGCACTGTGTGAATGGACAGGAAGCATTGACAATATTGTCAGGGAGCCTTATCAAGCGGATCTGTGCTTTGCTTGTTGTCTGCTCGGAACTGTTGCGCAACAGCATCAGGAAGTGATGTCTCTTCTACGGGCTCGGAGAGCGACAGGCTTAGGGCTACTCTTGTTGAGTGCTCTTGCAACTCCCTCGAGTCATGCGTATTCCCCTGGGCCGTTACCGGAGCAGCCTTTACCTGACTTTGGGGTGTACGCACCACCCATTGTGCCCTCGGACTTCGAGCCTTGTACTGTCTTATTGACGCATCACTTGTTCGCCAATTCATATGGAAGTCCTGCAATCATTCAGTACGAGGTGCGAGTCGCCGCCGATGCCATGTCTGTCCTGCATAGTATCTTCTCATCTTCTGGCGTGACCGTGACCTCTGGAACTGACTCTATGAGACTTCTTCTAGCCTCCGACAGACTGCGGCAATCCTGGGACTTGGGCTAGCATTGTTATGAACTTCACGGCAACGTCTAATGGGGTTAGCAACTCTCCCTTGTCCCTTCTATTACAAATTGACAACTTGCCCGTACACCATCAGACACAATACGATCGATTGAGTGTACGTCGTCGGTCATGCATGCCTGCTACTATAAGTCAATAAGTCTGCCTTAGACCATCTATCTCGCCAATGTTGAAGGTGGGAATCCTACCAGTACAGCCGCCAGCACTCTTCCCTGATTGCTTGCGAAGTCTGGCGAACTTCAACTCCAGAACCTACCGCATTGGGTTAGTTCGAATATACAAGTGTGTGCTTAGTACTTACGGTACCTTGCAACCACCCAGGTATCATATGGACGGCTCAGAAGGACGTTTCTCGCTACTCCCCACTGTTTGCCGAGCCAGGGTCAGTGCGATCAATTAGACCCGGAAGGTCCTCCATCGATATTGATATTCGGCCTTTCTCGGAAGCGAGATGATAGTTGACTTGGGCAACATACTGGATGCAAGCTCAGGGTTGACAGGCGAATATGATGGCAAGTGCAGCAGTTTCTTTTGCCTGGGCTCATGAACTGAACACCGTCGCGCCTTACTAGTCTGGCTGAGCGCCTCGTTCTACCCGTCGTCCCTGCAGTATCCATCCGCGAAGGCCGCAGATGTGATTCTGCCGCTGTCCACGCTGAGCAATAATTCTGCTAATTTATTCGCTGTTCCCCCGTTTGGAGCAGTGAGTGGTGTGGATATTTCCTCTGACTGAATACGGAACTGACTGTGGTATATTAGACCAATGTAACAATTCCCCCAAACAGTGCTCAGGCTTTCGTCGAGATATACGCATCTGGGAACGGGTGAGCGAGGATATACCAGCGTCAAAACTGCGGTTGACTCACGTGTGGCTCCTGTGAAGTGATGAAGAGTTCTGGGTACGGTTGGCTTGCACTATACTGGTATGCCTTTCATGCTGAGGATGTATCTGTCTAGTATGGCAATGTTCCGGACGAATACTTTGACCAGCTCCCGACTTGGAGCGCGCCGGACGGATATGCGTCACCCCACGGTGCGTAACACCAGCTTTAATATACCATACCTAGCTAACTAGTGACACTTTCCCAGGGCCCTTCAGGGAAGTGCAGCTCCTCATCGATGGTACTCTAGCTGGTGTCGTCTTCCCATACCGTACGTTTCCTGCGCAACAATCATCTGCTCACCTATTTAATGCTCTACCTCAGCTGTCATCTACACCGGCGAATTTCTGCCCTCACTCTGGCGCCCCATGGTCTCTTACGGCGCCTTCGACTCGCCAACCTACTACGTAGACATCACTCCCTTTCTTGGTTCTCTTTGCTCCTCTCCGTCGCCTTCACATAACTTCACCCTCACAGGAGCCGGGATGGGTCCTGGTCAGCCGATCAATGCGAACTGGTATGTCTCGGGAAATGTGCAAGTTGTGCTTGATAAGACGGGCAAGCAAACTAATGGGAGTGTTACGGTACGCGAGGGCCAAGGGGATGTAACGGCTGCGGTGGAGGGACAGGTGAGCGGGATGAATGTCAGCGTGACTACAGTTGCGGGGAGGAAACTATATATCGAGGGGGATGTCTTCACCGGAAGCGGATATACAAAGGCGACCTGGGAACAGAATCTTGAGGTCAGTGAATCTGATGTACCATCTTCAGTTTCCGCCTGATTTCCGAACCGTTGGCGTAGTTCACAAACTCGGAGGTGTACCAGACAAGTCTAGGGAACGTCAGCGTTCAAGTGAGTGCCACACCCTTCCTGCGTTTATGTATATGATTGATAGCTGTTGTAGACTGTTACGCAGATGTCTAAAGGCACCTCGATCTCAACGCACAACGGAGTATCCATGGTCTCGGACACCTTCACTTATCCACTCTACCTCCAGCTGCAGTACGCGACATACAACAATGGGACGTCCTACGATTATATCGTGGACCTGGATCACTCTTTCATAAGAGCCCTCAGCATGGCCGTTCAACCTCTGACAGAGAATATAGATACACGGCAAATCTGCCAAGGCACTCAGGTCTGGGCATTCGATCGACTGACTTCTCCATTGGGAGGGCTGACGCGGTTGACATAATATTGTAGAGCAGCCGTCAGGTGAACATCACGACGCGCACAGGAAGCGCCAACGAGAACTTCACATATTCGGACACGGAGGGACGGTCGTACACCAGGGACGTGAGCGTCTCGACTGTCGTGAGGACAGTTGCAGGGTCTCCGTCGGAGAACAATTCAAGCGTCATCTATGACCACGTCGGCGGGTCGCTTGCGGGATTGCAAGTCTAAGATTCAAACGCACTTTTGAAATACCCTCCATACCATGAATACTGGATTACAGCGTTCTCATGCATCTTCGTTCTGGTTCTTACAGGCATGCAACAAATGGAAAGTACTTCAATGAAAATCTTGCAAAATCGTTGCTGGTACGTGCTAAGAAAGGTCTGTGTACTGTGGCTCTGTCCAGGGCCCCAATCCAGGGCGCAAAGAACAAAAGCATCATTGCATCAGTGACGCGTTACATCGCCTAGATGCCTCGAAAGCGATGATTTGCAATGTACCGCCGGCGAACTTGTCAAGCGATAAATGCATACTCCGGACACATGTGCAGTCTCTCTGAGTCGATCAATTGGTGGCAGGCGACCTCCTCGGT